GGTGTCTCTCTCTCTCTCTCTCTGTGTGTGTGTGTGTGTGTGTGTGTGTGTGTGTGTGTGTGTGTGTGTGTGTGTGTGTGTGTTGGGAGATGGAAACCAGGACCTTATCCATGCTAGATGAGTACTCTACCATAGAGCCACAGACAGCCACAGCAGAAAATGAAGGTTCTGCCAGCTGCAACCCTCTCTTAGTCCTGCAAAGTGTAACAAGAAGTGTTCTCTTCACTCTGCTGTTGAAGTTTGCCATTTACAAATATGTTTGGCAATTTTTATAAGGGAAAGGGCCGTGCTCTGATTTGATGGGATTCTTTTTAAAGTCAACCTTGTCTGTGTGCGTGTCGAATTTGTGTATGTATGGTTATACACATCAGTATGGGTGCATATCCATCAAACACCTGTGGACAGCAGGGGGAAACATCAGATGTCTTTATCTCTCTCTACCTAGCTTCCTTAAGACAGCTCTCATTGAACAGGAATCTCACCATTCCAGTAAGGTTTGCCGTCTGGCAGATGAGCTCCAATTAGTCACCTAGTTCTGCCCCTTGGCCCACATCGGGTGTAGGGGTTATACACAACTATATCTGGATATTTGCATGGAAACTGGGGGGTTTAAATTCAGTACCTCCAGGCTTCCCTGACTCCCCATGGGAGGCCACAACCTCTCTGAGGAGCTGATGGGAAGGTGGGGTGAGGGTGAGGGGAAGGTAGGGGAGTGGGATGAGGGGAGGGAGAACTGGGATTGATATGTAAAATTTAAAAATAAAATAAAATTAATTAACAAAAACAACCAAACAAAAAAAGAATAAGAGAAAGACATTATATACAAACCAGAAATTTTTCAGGTCCTCATGTTAGTACAACAAGCACTCTTCCCTACACATCCGTCTTCCCAGTCCCTAGGGGCATGTTTTAGTGTTATTTTATTTTGAAGTCCTAGGAACTGAATTTAAGACCTCTCAGATGCTAGGTAAGTGCTCTACCAGTGAGCTACATCCCCAGCCTTGTTGTAGGTTTGCTGTTTACTGTTGTCTTTTTTCTTTTTCTTTTTCAAGACAGGCTTTCTCTGTAGCTTTGTAGCCTGTCCTAGAACTCACTCTGTAGATCAGGCTGCCCTCAAACTCACAGAGATCCACATGACTCTGCCTCTCCCTCCCAAATCCCAGCACTCAGGAGGCAGAGGCAGTGAGTTCGAGACCAGCCTGGTCTACAAGAGCTAGTTCCAGCACAGCCTCCAAAGTCACAGTTTGTCTCGAAAAACAAAAACAAAAAAACAAAACAAAACAAAACAACAAAAAGAATTGACTGAACAGAGAGAGGGATTCAGACTCTCAATAATATCTGCCACTCAGAGAAAGGCAAAACCAGACAAAAAAAAACCCTTTTGGGTGGGGTGGGTAGAGATTTCTCAAAGAAGCCCGTTTACCCAATTCTCTTAGTGGCCCTGTGCTTTGCAGTTAGCTGGAAATATGAAATGTAGGCTAGAGGGGATCCCTCAGTATTTTCTAGAACAAAATGAGTTCTGTTGCCTGGCTCCTTTTCCCTCCAGGTCAGAGATCCAGATCTCCCTTCATCAGGACTGCAGCTCTTACCATCAACACTTTCAAATCATCATCCAAACTCTTTCACTACCTAGTGTTAAGAGTTACTGTCAGCCAGAGACAGTCATGTATTTTAAGGAATTTACAGTAGGGAACTGACTTAAACCATTGTAAGGGCTAGCTAAACTATTCTGAAATTCTTGGTCTATCGGGAAGGGTAACAGTTGAAGCTGTAGTCTACCTGTCTGAATCATCTTTTGATCACTTGTTTGGTTTGTTCGTTTGTCTTTCTTTTTCTTTTGTTTTTCAGGGTTTGTCTGTGTGACTCTGGCTGTCCTGGAACTCATTCTGTAGACCAGGCTGGCCTTGAACTCAAAGCTCTGCCTGCATCTGCCTCCCGAGTATTGGGATTAAAGACACGTGCTGCCACCACCCAGATATATATATTTAGAATTATGTTGAAGAGATGGCCCTGCAATGTACCTCTGGCTAACCTCAAACTCGTGATCTGTGTGCTTAGTGCCTCAAGTGCCGAAACTAAGGACATGTATCTCTGATCCTGGCATGCGTTTGCGTTTTTTCCCCTGGAGGAAGCCTTAGTTCTGTTTTTAATGGCCTTTCAACAGGTTAAATCGGGTTCACCCAGAATAACTAGGAAGATTTTCTTAATGTCAAACCATCCTGGACATTATCCTATTTAAAAATTACCTCCTTTATAACACCCACATCTGTGCTTTCTTAATTTTTTAAAAATCTTAGTTTAGGGACTAGAGACATGGCTTAGATATAACGTGAACTTTTGCAAGGACCAGAGTTCCATTCCCAGAACCCGCATTGAGGAGCTAACAACTGTCAATGATTCTAGCTCCAGGGGGATCCAGTGGCTCCTCCACAGGGACTGGACTCATATGCCACAGCCACACCTAGACACATAATGTATGACTGTGTTGGGTTAGGGTGAGAGAACCACTTTTGGGAGTCCCATGCTGGGCTCTGGGGATAAAATGTAGGTCATTGAGTTTTCATGGCAAACACTTTTAATTGCTGGGCCATCTCATTGGCCATTTTCTTTTGTGAGACAAGGTCTCGTGTAACTCAAGCCGTTATCAAACTTGCTAGAAGCCCCATTTGGCCTTGTGCTTGTGATCCACCAGTCTCCTGGGATTCTAAGCATGTACCGCGCCCAACTTGTTTTGTTCTGTTCGTTTCTCTCTTCCCTTCCTCTGTTGCTCCTTCCCTCCTTTCCTCCCTTCTGGCACAGGGTATCACTACTAAATATATCCCAGGCTGGCCTGGAACTCATAATCCTCTTGCATACAGAGGCAGGATTAGAGATATGGGCCACCATGCTCAGTTTTGAGACTACATTAGATTTAGTAACAGGAAACACAGCACAGGAGTGCACAAGCTTCTTGTCACTCTTCTTGCCTGAGCTCTCAACGCACCCTCCCTTACCCTCCTCCCCTTTACACATCTCTCCCCCATGTCTGCCCTTTGTTAATGCTCTTCTTTGCTGTTTTGTTTGCTTTTTTCCCTCAGGATGCCAGCCTGGGTCTCAGGGGACCCATTTCCTGTAAAATCCTTTCTAGATCCTCAATTTGATTTCATTTCTCTACCTTCAAGGGCTGAGTTATGGGGATGTACCACCACACCAGGCTATTAAGCTTCTTTTTGTCTCTTGTGCCTTATAGCAGAAAAGGAATGCATATTGTTCATTGTTTATGTGCCAACCTCCAGAGGACCAGACATACAGGAAGTCAGAAGATTTCTTCTGAATTATATTGAATTTATAGCACACACCATAACTTACATATAACCCAGCCATACTTTTCAAAACCTTGCTTCTATCTCTCTTTAGAAATGATTCCCTTTTATTATATTTTCAATGTGTCACATGAATACAGATGCCCTTGGAGGGCAGAGACATTACAAGCAGTTGTGAGCCACCTGAATGTAGGTGCTGAGAACCGAACTTGGGTGCTCTTCAAGAGCAGTACTTTTCTTGTTTTTGTTTTGTTTTTTTCTCAAGACAGGGTTTCTCTGTGTACCTTTGGAGCCTATCCTGGCATTTGCTCTGTAGACCAGGCTGGCCTCGAACTTGCAGAGATCCACCTGCCTCCGCCTCCCGAGTACTGGGATTAAAGATGTGCGCCACCAATGCCCAGCTCAGTATTTGTTCTTAACCACTGAGCCATCTCTTCAGCCTCATAGGTACTTTGATAAACTAATTGCAGTGTACACCTTTTTTTTCCAGACAGGGTTTCTCTGTATTGTTTTGGAGGCTGTCCTGGAACTCGCTCTTTAGACAAGGCTGGCCTCGAACTCACAGAGATCTACCTGCCTCTGCCTCCCGAGTGGAGTGCTGGGATTAAGGTGTGCACCACCAACAGCCGGCCTTGTTTTGGTTTTTTGAGACAGGGTTTCTCTGTGTTGTTTTGGAGGCTGCCCTGGAACTTGCTCTAGAGACCAGGCTGGCCTCAAACTCACAGAGATCCACCTGCCTCTGCCTCCGGAATCCTGGGATTAAAGGCATGTGCCACCACTGCCTGGCTGCAGTGTACACCTTTAATCCAAGCACTGTGTAGGCAGAGGTAGGTGGTCTCTGAGGTTGAAGCCAACCGGGTCTAAAGAATGAGTGCCAGGACAGTCAGGGCTACACTGGGAAAACTACCTCCAAATTGACAAAGAATGACAACTTGCCAAAACAACAATCTTGGCACTGGAAGTCTGACAAGGGAGAACTGCCTCAAAGACAATCAAGATGGCACAGCAATTACCAGGCCAGCCAGGGTCATAAGTCAAAAACGTGCCTCAAAACAAAAGAAAAATAGGTTGGAGATGTAGCTCAGTTTGTAAAGTGCTTGCTTAGCATGCATGAAGCCCAGGGTTCGATTCTCTAGCATTGCACAAACCAGGCATGCTGGTGTATTTCAGTAATCCCACACCAGGAGCTGGAGGTAGGAGAAGTTCAAGATCGTAACAGGTTAGAAGCCAGACTGGGATAGATGAGACCCTGGCTCAAAACCCCAAAGCAAACACACACCCATGCTTCACTCCCCATCCCTGTCTACCCGCTCACACACATCGCCCATATTCTGATGGACTAATCTGTCCTTATCTATCCATTTCTAAAGGTCTGAGAACATATTTTATCTAAACTTATTTATTTGCTTATTTTTGAGGCAGCTGTTTCTTCCAAGCATTAGGTAATCAGAATTTACCACTTAAATATTTGGGGAAAGCCACACTCCTTCCCTGACTGCACACACTAAAACCCAGTCAAAAACAAAATGCAACTTTCTCCTACATTACTGCAGGATGTCATTTTCCCCTGGGACTTGCCTTTCAGGTAAAAACTACACTTGGTAATTAGGGCCGGTAAACAAGCCCTTTGGATGGTTCGCGCCTGCGTTATGGCTGTCTTTGTGATGTAAAAGTCCTTTAGTTTAACCCCATACTTACAACGAGATAGAAATCCGGATCAGAAGCCTACACACTCATGTGACTACCATCCTGCTAAGAGACAGATACACTTAAAGGAAAATGCATGCCAGGGATGGATTTGGCTTCTCGACCTGAAACAAAAGAAAAAATACGAATGATATCCTGTTGCGGGAGGAGAGGGGGCGATCTAGCCCTAACACGTCTGTAGAATCCCTCCACCTACATCTTTTCACACCCAGAGAATCTTCTCCATGCTTTCCAAGCAGCGTTTCCCTAGGTCGGTGCTACCAGGAGGCGGGGCTACTTCTTAGTCCCGGCCCCTTTCGTGCCTTTGAGCCAATTACCAGAGAGAGTGATTGGGCGGCAACGTTACCGGAAGACTCCGCCCCTCACTCCGGCTCAGCAAATTCGGAACGCTGGGTGGGGAACTTCCTTTGTGATCCCGCCCCCTCGGTGCTTGGTAATTTAGAGCCGCGCGCTGGGCGGGAATGTAAGATGGCGGAGTAGCAACGCGGTGCTGTAGGTGTACCGGCTACCGGCTGACTTCGGGTCCAGTCTCCGCAGCGGCGCTGACCACTGAGCGAAGGGCGCGTTTGAGGAGTTGCCCAAGATGCCTAACATCAAAATCTTCAGCGGCAGCTCCCACCAGGACTTATCCCAGAAAATTGCTGACCGCCTGGGCCTGGAACTAGGCAAGGTGGTGACTAAGAAATTCAGTAATCAGGAGACCTGGTAAGAACGAATGTGGCATCCCGAATGCCCCTCACCTGCCCAGGCGGCGGCACCTTGGGGAGATGGGGCGGCCGCGGGAGTTCCGAGGCGCGGAGGGAGGGCAGAAAGGGGCAGTAGAGGTTAGCTTGCCCCGCGGGCTGTTCCGTTATTTTACCTCACGGGTGGGTCGCGTTTATCCTCGCCGCGCGCGGTTAGGTGGAGCCAAGATGGAAGGGGCAGGCGTAGATGCTACGTTTGAAGATTGGGGATGGAGGACCTAAAGAAAGGGGGTAATTGCCTCCCCGGAACGCCTGGAGGGGTATCGACGCTTGGCTTCAGCCATGGGGACACGTGGCTCGTCGCTTCACTGTGGAGCCTCTAGGCTGGGTTCGGTTCGCTTTAGGCGCGTTGACTGGAGTACATCAGAAAACCTATCACGCGTTCTGAGCCCCCTCGTGGTCTTTCTCCTAGAGTCGAAAAGCTTTTTGATTCGAAATGGTAGCGTTCTGGTTTGGTCTTAAGGGAAGCATGTTCTGAGTGCGCGAAAATTTTACCACTTCCCTTAGATTGGCAAGCGTCGGATTTTCCCATTTTTGCAATCTGTCGAGGAATCGGAACCACCTTTATGTTAAACCGAGGTGATGGGAAAAAGTGCTTTAGCTCAGTCTCCTAGATCTTAAGCATCTTAGCTTGAGTCATCCCGAGAGTCTTAGGGAAAGCTAAGTTGTGGAATTGGAATTTTTGACCTTTCCCATTGGTGCTACTGCCATCCCCTCCCCCCAAATAACAGCATCTTCTCAGTGTTACGTGCGTGGGGATTTAGGGAACGAATTACACGCGATTGTTAATAACTGAAGACAAAATAATGCAGAGGAAAAAGAGCTAGCTCAAACAGTGAATTAAAATTTGAGGTTTTTTAATGGCTTACCTTAAAATTCCTCATCCAGCACTGATGTGGTGTCACACCTGTAATCACACCACTAAGCAGAAGCATTAGGATAGCCAGCCCCAAGCTTGAGGCAAGCCTTGTCTACATAGTTAATTCTAGACTGGTCGGGACCACATAGTGAGAGCCTTTCTCAAATATTAGTTACTAACACTATGCTCTCTAGCCCTAATTTCATCGTCCACGTGCATTACTGGACTTGTGAGAGATTACCTACTTCCCTCGGTGCCCTTTCCAATTGTTTACAGAAACTTCTAGATCTCATGCACTGTATTTTGTAGTTTTCCCATAGTAGATAGAGCACAGGCCATAATCCCATTTTCATTGGCTTATTTTGATTTTGTTTTTAGGTTGCATTTTTGTGTGTGTGATTTTTTTTTTTTTCTGAGACAGGGTATTGCTTTGGAGCCTGTCTTGGAACTAGCTCTTATAGACCGACCTGGCTGCTCTGGAACTCAGATCCGCCTGCCTCTGCCTCCCTAGTGCTGGGATTAAAGATGTGACCCACCAACGCCAGGCCAGCCTACAGTCCTTTTTTCTTTTGTTTTTTGTTTGTTTGTTTGTTTGTTTTGCTTTGTTTTTCGAGACAGGGTTTCTCTGTATTGTTTTGGAGGCTGTCCTGGAACTGGCTCTGTAGACCAGGCTGGCCTCACACTCAGAGAGATCCACCTGCCTCTGCCTCCCAAGTGCTGGATTAAAGGCGATCACCACCAACGCACAGCTTGCTTTTGCATATATTTCTTTTGTCATGCCTTTCCATGTTTTTATTTTTATTTTTTTTCAAGACAGGGTTTCTCTGTGGCTTTGGAGGCTGTCCTGGAACTAGCTCTTGTAGACCAGGCTGGTCTCAAACTCAGAGATCCGTCTGCCTCTGCTCCTGAGTGCTGGGATTAAAGGAGTGTGCCACCAACGCACGGCCAGCCTACAGTTTTACAGTCATCTGTTAGGATTTTTTTTAACTAATGATCAATTAAATTACATAAGATTTATTTTGTGACTTTTTCTCTAAATGTTTTTGTATTTCTACTTGAAATTGATTTCCAAATATAACTATATTTTTTAGACCTAGTTCATCTGTAATGGATGACTTCTTCCTGGCTTAGTGTGCTGTTAATTGTGATGAAAATGATACTGCAAACACAGCGTCTGTAGCCAGGCAATACCTTAGTCAAAAGAGGAGTGCAAGCTACTTCTTACTCCTGGGCCTCAGTAAAGAAAAGGAAACAGCCCTGGACTGAGAATGATACTTAGGCTAGGGGGTAAGGATGCTTTTCATTAAGAGGTTTTCTTTGACCCCTTTGGTTATTGAATTTTTTCCCTGTTTTCAGAAAAAAAAACAAGCAAGAAGGCTGTTTTGTTATGTTAATCCTCTGCATAATATAACACACCAGATCCTGAGGTTATATTTGGGGTGGTGGTTGTGGGAGAAGAGAGCAACATTATTTCTACTGACTGTTTTTTGATTAAGCCCAACTTAGATACTATGGCTTTTTACCTTTATTTATGTGTAAGGGTGTTTTGCCTGCCTGTATGTATGTCATACATGCCTGGTGCCTGCTGAAGTCAGAAGAGCGTGGTTAGATCCCTTGGGACTGGATCACAGATTGTTGTGAGCCACCATGTGGGATCTGGGAATCCTCTGCTAGAGTAGCCTGTCTATGCTCTTAACCACTGAGCTGACTCTCCAGCCCTAAATATAAGTTTTAGCTTTAAGTTTGACTTTGAAAAAATGGCTAAAATGTTGGTTGTTAAGCAATATTATTTTTAAAAGTGGAGCTGATAGGTTGTGGTTTTTCAAGACAGTGTTTCTCTGTGGCTTTGGAGGCTGTCCTGGAACTAACTCTTATAGACCAGGCTGGTCTGGAAGTCACAGATCCACCTGCCTCTGCCTCCCTAGTGCTGGAGTTAAAGTGTGTGCCACCAACACTAGGCTGTTGTTCTTTTTGGGGGAGGTGGGCTGGAGCACGCCTGGCTGGCTTAGATCTTGCTGTGTAGAACGTGCTGGCCTTGGAACTCAGATGCTCTGCCTCCTCTGGTCTAATCAACAAGCCTGTACCACCATGCCTGACCTCAGGATGTTTTTGTTTTGGGTTTTGGTTTTTCAAGACAAGGTTGCTCTGTAGACCAGGCTGGCCTCAAATTCAGAGATCTGTCTGCCTCTCCCTCCTAGTCCTAGGACTAAAAGTGTGTGCCACAACAAAGGGCTGAGAGTATTTTTTTAAAGATTTTATTTATAGCTGGGCCTTGGTGGCACACGCCTTTAATCCCAGCACTCGGGATGAAGAGGCAGGTGGATCTCTGTGAGTTTGAGGCCAGCCTGGTCTCTAGAGCAAGTTCCAGGGCAGCCTCCAAAACAATACAGAGAAACCTGTCTCGAAAAACCAAAAAAAAAAAAAGAAAAATATTTTATTTATGTAAATGTTTGTGTATGGGTAGGGGCTTGTTTCACATATTGCGGATCCCCTTGAGCTGGAGTTATGGTAGTTACCTCCTGATTTGTGCACTGGCTCTTCTTTTTTTGTTTGTTTGTTTGTTTTTGTTTTTTTAAGACAGGGGTTCTCTGTATTGTTTTGGAGGCTGTCCTGGAACTGGCTCTGTAGACCAGGCTGGTCTTGAACTCACAGAGATCCCCCTGCCTCTGCCTCCCAAGTGCTGGGATTAAAGGAGTGCGCCACCAATGCCCGGCAGCACTGGTTCTTCTAGGAGAACAGAACAGCACTTTTTTTTTTTTTTAGACTGGGTCTCACTTTGTAGCTCTGACTGTCCTGAAACTCACTATGTAGACCATACTGGCCTCCCAATTCACAGATCCTCCTGCATCTACCTGTGCACTCAGTTAAAGGCGCTTAACTTTGAACCATCTCTAGTCCTGGAACACATTTTAAGGACTAACCTCTAATGATGCTATTGTACTTGTCATGCTTTTAGATGTTTAGACTGGCAATAATTATTCTTTGAGAATTTTTGCCCTTTTCCTTTTTGTTGGCATGTATTTTATACAAAATGATGGGCTTTGTCTTGACAAAAATGTTTTCTCTGCAGGGCAGTGATAGCGCACACCAGAGGCAGAGGCAGGTGGGTCTCTGTGAGTTCTCTGACAGACAAGCCTATACAGAGAAACCCTGTCTTGAAAAACCAAAAACTGTTTTCTCTACTGGAAAAAGTCTAGACAATGAGGTTTCATAATTAATGATTGACCTGCTTTAAAGAAAGGATGTGAAGCCAGGCCATAGTGGTGTACACCTTAACACTCCAGAGACAAAGGCAAGTAGGTAGCTCTGAGTCAGAAGCCAGCCTGATCTACAGAAGTAGTTCCAGGCCAGCCTGGGCTACACAGAGAAACCCTGTTTCTCCTCAGCATCCTCCCACCCTAGTAAAGAACTTTAAGTATATTCTGTAGTTACAAAAGCAAGGAGTCTTATAGAACAAAGGACTATAGTAATTTTGCCCAGGACTTGGCAAAAAAGTAATTGGTAAAGTTTAGATTTACAAATGACAGACTCTGGAGATCCTCCATGGAGGTCCTCATTCTCCCTGGGGATCGGAGTGGAGATTGGGTGCAGGACTGGGGGACCTGAGGGGAGTAGGGAGAGGGAGCTGGGGTTGACATGTGAAGCAAACTTGTTTCTAATTTAAATTTTAAAAAGGAAGAGAAGAAAAGTTTAGATTTACTCTATGTGTATCCCTTGGCTTCTGAC